TTTTATGAACATGTACAAAGTATGGCAAGCCGAGTTTGGTTTAGTGCAAAAAGGATTTTTCAAGGTTGTTCGGTCAGTCTAGTTAAATTCTCAAGTGAAATTAATAGATGTACATATGGTAGTCATTTTCTTACTTAACCTGTTACATGAATATTTTTTGCTACTTCCAGGCACTTGTAATACCATGTCTCTTCTCGATTTACCCTATGTTAAACCAGTCGTTTTCCAAACCATTCTACGCGAACAGATGAAATCAGACAGCACGTGCAGACACTTGAAAATGCCCGAGACTCGTAAAAACCAAGTACATACATACATATACTCCACCCTTTTTCCACGCGATGGCCAATTAAACCGAGAGCGAGTATTCTCACATTCCCGGAATTTTTCCCGTTTTCCAGTACATACCTACATACACACGTACATCTGAGGAGTCGACTGCATTGATTATCCCGGCGGAGGTCGTCAAGGCTCGTCATACGAGTTTTCTAATGCATCTGCTTCTAAGTAAATGCGCCTGAAACGAGGAGAGAGAAAGATGGAGGGGAAAAAAAAGAAACGTGTCCCCAGACGCGGAGTGGCTACGTTAGAAAACGTGTTCAAATGCACACGCGGCGGCGTCAGGTCTTTCCACCGTTCGTTAAAGTCGTCTCGCGACAGGCACACGAACAGCACGTAGAACAAATAGAATGCTGAGCGCCGAGCCCGGTGGACCTAATCAAATAGCCGGCGTACCTGTTTGTTAAAATAAGGTCAGACGACTACACCTTATTAAATGCAACCTTGCTCCGACCCAGTATTTCGAGACTACACCGCCGCCGTGGAAACGGCTGTTTTTCCTTCGATGCGCGCAGCCTGTTCTAGATCGAGGCTTTTTATAACATTCTTGTCTTCATGCTCTATATTCTTGAATGAGGATTTTTTCAGCGTCTTTCCACAGACAGGAATTATGATATATCGCAAATAAAAGTCTAGTTCCAAATTCTAGTCTAGTCTAAATGTCAAATAAAAGTCTAGTTCTTTTTTAGAAATAATTAAACGCCTTTACTCCTTTTGCACAGTTGGAAGCATTGAATAAAAAATGTTCCTGTCGTTTTACTTTCATTTCTTCATCGTTGAATATCATTCTCTCCGGCATGGCATTAAAGAGAAAAATGTTTCTTACTTAAGTCGCGTTCCATTTTCCAGCACGTGCCCGATAGACGTAGGCGGTAGTTAACGTTATGCGAATTTTTACGAGCCGCACTCGCCGCGTGCTCGTTGATAAACGTCGGAACGTGCCAATGAGCACACCATCACACGATTAGGCCGAAGGTGAGACAAGAGGAACGTCACCGTCGACGCCATTTCGCCATAAGTACGTGTACTGAAAAATGTAACATTCAACGTAAGGTTCACACGTGTATCTACTTGAAATTACAAAGAAGCTGCCATTAATTTAAAACTGAACAACTCAATTGTGATCATCACAAAATCATCACAAAATGATCAATCATCACAAAATGAGTTGAATTACATGAAGTCAAGTCCATCAACTCAAATGAAAGAAGATGAATGTCGTAACGCAATTCAAAAATAAAGGAAATAAGAAACTTTATATTTCTGAAACCATTAGTGGTACTACGTATGATGTTCACAAAAATGTTAAACATATCAAACGTCCATATAATATTATAGTATTTAATTAAATATTTATTAACGTATTCAACGATTTTATATACTTATTTATATTACAATAATTTCATAAAATTATTAATGCTTACGATTAATACTTTAGAAGCCGTACACGTTATGATACCACAAGCCTTGTTCATCACAACGTGATTTTCTGTTTCTTTATCATGCGAATTGCGATGCGTCATTGGAAATAGAAACGTGCACGTCGTAATCATATAGGAAATTCTTTGAACACTCTGCAGGCAAGTATGATCGAATCGAGTGGAAGTTACAATCGTGATTCGTAATTTTTGGTTTTACAGGAATGTTTGTTAAGTGAAGTATTGTGTACAGACACGAATGTGATTTTAGACGTTATTGTATAGTCAGTTAGTTAGCATAAATGTTTAATGCATTTAATTATTTTATTTGTTCAATCTCTTTCCAATTCAACAACTTAAATTTATCTAAAAAAATGCATATACTACAAATTAATATCAATATATATGTACAACATTTGATAATTAAATTTTCTTTAACCGAAATCAAAATTCCACGTACAAGGTGCCACTGGAATGAAATTTTCACGCAACGGAACACTGAAGGTACAAGCTACCTCTCAGGCGTGTACCTGTACAGATAAAGAAGCAAATAAAAAAAAGGGATAAGGGGAAAAGGTAGTCGTTCGACGGGTCGTCGTAACGCGAAGGAATTTTTTTAAATGGCTCCATCAGCGACGTAGGAGCGCGTTGATGGACAAGAAACTTAATCTCGAAGAAGAACGCGGCGTTATCTGGGGTTGAAGCCGCGCGACGACGACGTTGTGGCGCGGTATCTAACCCGGCTGAGACAACATTTGAGGAAACTTAGAACCTGAGTCTCGCAGGTAGACAGATATACGCTGTATGTTCAGAACCGCTCCTTCTCTGCTCTGGGAAAGTCAAACAGTCAAACAACCACGCGCACCGAGTGTTGACTCGCGGCATACATTTGGTAGGAACACTTCCCCTTCGCCTCTCGCGCAAGACAAACAACCTGTCGTGATAATGATACACCGGATAACAGCAGATAAAAATGCAACCGAGGCGTTGGGCCCTTGCGAAGACGGAGAAGGAGAGATGAATATTGGTACACAGCATTTATTCGCCGCACTGGCTGCTGGACGGTGTTTTGAAAAATTGGTTCAAGTTTCATCTCGAGCTCATCTGACACTTTGGTCGGCTCGGAGCAAGGATAAAAACTGCTTCATCAGAATTTTTATTCGTCGACCGGATACAGAATTAGGGGGTTAAAGTACGATTCTTTGATTAACCACAGAGTAAATTAGATTTTAATGCGATTTTGAATGGTATATTTATACTGTTTTTTAATTTGAGAGTCCTTTCCGATGCAAATGATTTCGAAGCAATGTATAAACCTCGAAATTATGCGTTAATTATCTCCGAGCGCGCATTATTCAAAAATGTGAAATTCAAAATTCATTAAGCACGAAAAGTGAGAGACAAATACATCAAGTAAGTTATGCACCTCGAGAAGTCCATTCTTAATATTTAACTGTAAATCCGAGTGTATTCGTGCCTCGTGTCCAACAGCTACGAGCCACGCATTTTTCCACAGACTCATACTAACCGCATCCTTGTTCACGAACGCCCCGGGCCTTTCCGAACCGATTTTCAGCGTGGGTGCACGCGAGCCTCGTGAGTTACCATCATGAGAGCCAGATCGAAGAAAGACACGAAGGGAGAGAAGCGAAGGCAGAGACGAATCATTCCCACAATTACGCAACCGCGTTCCCTATACCTCCGTCCTTCAGATTCGTCCTTAATGAAGGATAATCACGTTTAATTGACTGCCCTGAGGCGTTGCGTCGTGCCGCATCGACTTCACCCTGCGGCCCGGATCCTCTTACCAAGCGTTGGCAACAATTTCGTGGGACCAGGCACCGCGTCTCCGCTGCCGCACAATTAGTAGAGTTAGGTCAAAGAAAACGTTAACGACTTTCGGATTTCGGATCGCGGTTTCATCAAGCTTATAGCTTCGGGGATCGGTCCGTCAAGTGTTAATTTTTAGATTGAACGGACAGAGACTTTGGACCCGCGTGATTCAGAGGCACGAGTTTCTGATTTTAACCGACACAAATTTATACATTACGAGCATCTTTTTATTTCATGCCAACGAAGAAGGTTTGATTTATGTCCGAAACGATTTTCTTGGTCATTCTACAAACACCATTGATCTTTTTCTTTCACTTGATTGCTAACCATTTGTTAAACTACGAGCTTGTGCAGTAATACATTAAATACGAACTGAAGACATATCGATTTCTTACTGTCACGGAAACTCTGAATAATTCATAGATGACGTTCTTTTAAATAAGAGGATCAATTTTTTTTCGATAATGTAGTTACTTACTAAAA